GGATAAATGGTATAGTTATATAACAATACCAACCTGTTAAGTCTTAGTGGGGCAGGTACCCAGGTACCACTCTCCATTCTCCCACCCCTTGTATGAGTAGAACGTAGTACTTGAATGGTCCATCACAATGAATGGTCCCGGTCCCAGCACATTAACTCATAGCCATCCTCATTGTGCAATTGAGGACATAACTGACACAGCATGTGCACGATAATGCGACCCCTTCACAGTTTTGAAGAATGCTAAGTCTATCGAAAAATGAACGAATGAATGAAGAAAGAACAAAATAAACTATTAAAATGAAAAAATGATGCCTAGGAAATATTTCGCAACCATCCCTTGAAGGCTTATCAAGAGCAGTGAAGGAATTTTAAACTGACATACTCACTGAAGAGTATGGCTATTAGTAGCTATAAAACTTCTCATTAATCATCGAATGTAAACACTAATTAGAGTCGTCAAACTTTCTGAAAAAGTGAAAAACTCAATGGGTAATTACAAGCTTTTTTTGAACTCTGCAATACCTTAGAAATCGTTTTGTCTCGGTTTCCTGCACGTGAAGTTGACGAGTCGAAGAAAACCACCGAGAATGTAATACAGTTGAATATTTCATAAGAGCACAATACCATGCCATTTTTGAAAAGAGTAAGTTGGGATTGAGTCACCTCACAAGTGTCTCAGAAATCTTAACAGTGACTACAATAAATGAAACGTCCACAATGTTCGTTATCGAACGTGCGCCAATGAAGGTCCATGCTCCAGAAGCTTCAATGGCGCGAACGCGAACGTTTTCAAATTGCAGTGTTGTTGACATATCTCAGTTCCTGTGCAGAGAATATTTTGGTCTATCTTCTCGTTATACTTCAGGTCTTTTATGTCGTTTTTATTCACAATGATATTTACTATTATGTGCTCATGTGTTAGGAAGTCGTTCTGCCAGTGGAATTTGCTCTGTGTACCAACCATCGTTGTTATCGATCAGATTGCATGCACATCGAGCCTTTCGATACCTTTTCATATCGATATTCTCTCCTTTACAAGTTCTGCACTCTTTTGCCATCTATGGTCTCGATTGGTATGGGATTACCGAAATGTAACGCGATCCATCCAATCCAGAACAGTATGTGGGGAATGCTATGAGGATATAAAGTTATTCTCTGTTTTCATTCTCATTCATTCTTGCTTGGATACTTGAACGGCCCGTCCTCACTGGTTGTACGGGCCCCAGTGCAATCTCCATTCTTCAGAGTTTTGCTGGTTTAACCATTGTGGTTCCCTGGAGTCTCGAAGTCAGCCAGACCAAAGTCTTCCCCAGGTCTGCACCACTACAGGTTGTCGTCATCCTTGTGGATCAGAGAGAGATTTGCCACCATGCGACTTTGATACCAGGACGGTGGTGGATTCTGGTATTGGTTTACTCTTAGCTAAGCTTCCTGATGGAAACGGCGGACTCCTCAGCATGGGAGGTCCTGTTGGTGGGATGAATCCTCCCGCTGTACATTGCAATCCAACACCGAGGAACACGTCCCAACAACGATGAGGCGGTAAACCGTTGGGAGGTTCTCATTCATACTCTAGTTACAATTGTCAATTTAGTAATTCCCACATCCGACTTTCTATTAACGTCTGCATTGATCAAATAATTCTCTACATTCTTCTTGAGCAAATACCATATGTTGTTTGACTCTTTATTGCTATGAAGGTAACATTTCGGCCGATTTCTTCTTCCTCAGAGCCTGGAGAGGTCAAATTGGCCGCAATCTACTCAACCAAACACCTCCATAACCAAACAGAGAAGAAAATGCTGAACTAAGGCTTCAATCACATTGGACACAGAAGAGCTTCTCTGCACACTCATGGCTTTCTATGGGTCTTTAGCATCTTCTCTGCTTGGTAATGGAGATGTTTGGCAGGGTAGATTGCGGTCAACTTGACTTTTCCAGGCTCTGTGGAAGAAGAAATCGGCCGAAATGTTACCTTCATAGCAATAAAGAGTAAGATAACACCTCTTGTTGCCCACCAAAAATACAAAGTATTAATTTATTTATGGTGGTATGCGTTATTTACTTTTCATCTTACCTAGTCATTCCAGTACGTAAATTATTCCTTCTTAAAAGGGGACAATCGACCTGGGGGGGGGGGGGGGGGAAAAAANGGGGGGGGGGGGGGGGGCAAAAGATCGATAGAACTAGCTGAGAGACATGCAAAACGAAGGACCCAGATGGTGTGGTGGTGATGTGCGCCACTCCCCGGTAAGGACAATAGGGCGCGTTCGTTTCCCACCGCATACACCTGCAGTCCGGAGTTTTGCAAATATCTCAGCACCATTGAAGTTATATTCCACAATGCCTGCCGTTAAGAAGAGTAGGCAGTAAATAATAAGTTGAAATTATCTCTGCGTAGTTGTGGTTGGTATTTCACGTAATACCGTGCCACTGGAAAATAATGGGCGGTGTGCAAAAAGTTATACATCCTTTCTTAATGATGGTTTTAATCCTTAACAGTTACGCGAAAACGTGAGTTGTATAGGAGTCATGTCATATGGGTCACAATAGCAGCTATGACCTCTATTGGGGTCATTTGCTGCTGGTGGTTTATTTTGGCACGTAGGACTGTTTTCCTACACTTCTTATGATCAATCGGCAGCGTATTTAACGCAGGTGTTATGGCGAGCATGGACCATGAGAAAGTGTCGTAGTAGTGATATCTCACATAATAATTTACAAAGAATCTCATTTTGGATAAGTTTATTTCGAAGGCAACGAATAGTTGCTGCTAAAGAGTCAACTGCATAAAGTCTATCGCGTTAAGAAAGGAACAAAAACATCTCTGCTGCATGTGAACATCGAGGTTTGAGGTTCGGCACACAGAGAAAGCTTTTCACTATGACATGTTGGTAAGTCCTTGAGAGGGCATCTCCACAGAGGCTCAGTGTTCATGGAGCACGCATCCGTCAGTACGGCTCAACAGCGATGTTTATAACCTATAGTTTATAGCTACCAAGTCTTGTCACCTCGACTGTAAGAGATGTGTTGAAAATTGTTCTCGAAAACCTTTAGTGTACATTCATTTATATTTTCGTATGGATTGATCTTATCGAGCTGATGCGAAGTTGGTACGAGTTGTCGTCGTTGTTGTTGTTGTTGGTCGATGGCTAAGTCATCAAATATAGTTCATAAGAACATAAATAAATATATTGATCACCTATGCTGAAGTTTATAAAAAGTCGGTCTTTTGAGTTACTTACTGTACAATCCACAGTTTATAACGCATATACGTACTTACTTGACACTTGAACTACCCGTCCTCACTGGTTGTACGGGCCCCAGCATAATCTCCATTTTTCGGAGAATTGCTGGTTAAGCTTTTGTAGTTCTCCGGAATCCCGATGTCAGCCTGGCCAAAGTCTGCCCCAGGTCTTCACCACCATAGGCAGTCGCAACCCTTATGGATCAGAGGGAGATTTGTCACGATGCCACTAATTTGACACTTGGACGGTGGCGTATTCTGGTATTGGTTTACTCTTAGCTAGGTTTTGTGATGGAAACGCCGGGCTCCTCAGCTTGGGAGACACTGCCAAGGGATGAATCCCCGGCTATACGCCGTACCTCGACACCCAGGAACACCTCCTAGCCACGATGAGGCGGTAAACCGTTGCGGATCCACAGGTTATAGTGTATTTATGTCCACATACTATTTCTATATCCCGCATCTGAATATCCCTTTATAGATAGGTCTGGTATCTAGTGTCTACATGTAGTACTTCTCACACTTTGCATCTCTTCTATTTCCCACTCACAATCAACAGCTTTGATGGAAATTCTGGTATAGTTACATAGCAACTACCAAAACTGCTGGGAATGAACTAAGCGTTCACCAGTATGTCTCCACATTGTATGTCTTATTCCTCACTCTTTACATATAATTCACTTTGTATATGTCTAGCAGTGTTTGCAACTTGTACTGTTCTACATGGTTATGTTTTCTCCTTACAGACTATTACCTTAAGAATTATCTCATTTTAAAGGTAATTTATAATCACTGTAGCACTCAATATTTACAACTGAACGTTTCACGTACTGCTAATTGCAATCGTTAAAATCACTGTGTATTTTCACTTGGACGCATTGGAACCATCTAAACAGTATTTATTGCACTGGCTGCATGTGGTGTTGGTCTGTTTCCTTTGTATAACATTCGATCGGGGGCGCTAAATTGCTGCTGGGAAGTGCTGTAGGGAAAAAGTAAAGTAAACCACGCAGACGAGAAATCGCTTACATTGGTATGAGGGAAGGAGGACATCCACTGGAAGTGGGTGACAGATCAAGAGGCCCGTATGTATTGGTTGGACTCCCTCGACGAGATACTGGAAATGGCTCTAAGAGCATTTAACTAAAGGAAAGGCATGTACAGCACCTAAATTAGTGCGCATGTCTCATTAAAAAGTTTATGGACTTTATAGGGGAACGCTTACCTGGCCACTAGGTAGAAGTGGAGGGAGGTTGTCTCGAAGCGATAACATGTTGATCTCAGAAGTAATACAAGGAGCCTTCCTTGCAAGCATGATATGGTTGCAATAGTTCCTCTCGCTTTTGCCGTTCTAATGGAGGTTGTACCATCAGGGACTCCTAAATAATACCCAGAAGGATTTTCCAACAAATTTTAAAAATATCGAAGAATGATCTTCGGCACATTCGCAGTAATTTGCACAGATTATGATGCATGCGTAGTAGAGAGTAATTTAGTCTTTCAAATTTCAACCAACATCGAATGAAATGAAATCCTACTATACTCTGCTTTGCTGCTCTGTACTACTGATAATGATACCGACTGCTGCAAGACTGATTGTCCAGAGAAAAACGAATGGTTATGAATGGGCAATCACTTTCAAGAACTGTCCTATAAAAGAGCGCTGTCGAGTGAGATTAATTCATCGGAGCGGTGCTCAACTGGGTTTGATTCGATGCAATCAAGAAAACCCACATCGGAAGAAGGAACTAATGGGGACAGTCGACTCGAATTATTTTGGCTGTGAAGAAGATGAAGGCGTCACGACATTAGCCGAGGAAGGTTTTTTTTTATGAACCTCATGTTAACTTATGAACGAAAAAGTAAAATAATAATATGCGATATGAATACCAACCTCTTGTACTTTCAAATATGGAACAATTCATCGATAATTTATGCTGAAGTTAAGCAATAGGTATTTTTAATTTGTTTAAACGTAACGCGTTATCATAGCTAGTGTGCGGAACCCAGAACTTGTTGCATTCAGTTCGTAATCCCTCGCCTTCATAATCCACAGAGCTATTCAGACACTTCGCGTGTTCTTTTGGGCGCTGGCAGATCTTCTTGTAATCTTGGAGGTAGCCGAGCTAAAGCATTTCCACATAGACTGGCGAAAAGTGTTGTGGAGAGGATCGAGCCAGCACCTTGCCTGATGGAATAACTGTACCGCCATCCACTGTGCTTACCCCCTCCACCGTCCTCTAGGTGATTGTAAGTCTTCTGAAACAAATACATGAATATATATGTGCAATTGTACATATGTATGTATACGTACATATATGTATATATATATCATCTGTCACCTCTTATCCTGCTGATCGTCGAGTGACACGAGCAGGCGCCAGTAGACCTTCTATTTCCTTTCGCGCGCAAGAGTAGCCCAGTGCGTTCTGTTCACTCTGTCGACTCGTTGTCGACTGTCGAGGATTCATTTCTTCTGCTGTTTTTCTGGAGAACTCTAACCATAGGGTTGATGGTCGTCTCGCAGTACGTTTAACATTCCGAGAAATCCAGTTTCTAACAGTTTTTGTCCATCGGTTGTCATTCATATGCATTGCTTGTCCAGCACAATTTATCTTTAGCGGTTTGGGGCATAAAACGACGTCCTTGAATTTCGGTCGTTGATGTAGACCGGAGCTTCGGGTACTTTTCCTCATTTGCGTGATGCTGGAGACTCCTAACATTACCGACCATCAATTTTTACACCCATGTTGTCTCATTCCAGTGTTGACCAGACTTCCTCGTTGGTGGCAGTAAATAGTTTTGGCGAGATGGTGTCGCCTTACCCAACCTCTGTTTTGAAGTCGATGTTAATATCGTTGTAGAACGGTGGTATTTGGTCGTGAAATTTTTGTATAGCTCACGAAGAGTCTTTATATACTGAGTAGGGACATCCTGGCTGTCCAAGGCTCCAATGACTGTTTCTATCTCAGCCGAGTCGAAAAGCTTTCCCTAAATCGGTGAAAGCGAGACGAAGCGGTCTGTTGTAAGCTCGCGATACCTCAATGAGTCTTGTTACCATGTGGGTGTAATCTATGGTACTGAGTCCTCTTCAAAACGCTTCTTGTTCACATGTGTTTCTTTCGTCCAGTGTTCTATCGATCTGGTTAGGGGCGAGTTCAGTGAAGAGGTTGTTTACGACAGACAGGAAGTAGATTGGGCATTATCTGTTAGTATTGTGGAGGTGACCATTCTTGAGCAATAGCACAGCCTTGCTGGTCTTACACTGAGCAGGAACCTTGCATTATGAGAGGCAAAGTGTGAGGAGTCGAACCCCATTGTTGATGAGGACCGGTGGGTGGTTCACGTGTTCAACGCTTATCTTGTTCGAATCAGGTATTGTTCAATTCTTCACCGACGAAATTGCATGTGGGATTTTGGAAAGAAGAATCGGTGGGGCGATATATCCACCTTCTATTACTTTGTGTGACGGCAGGTGGACGTGGCAATTGAAGAGATCCGAGTAATATTCATGAATGGTTTTCTTCTTCGTCTTTCTAGAAGATATAGATGTTCCGTCTTTGGCGAAGTTGCGATGGACTTCGTGAATGCTTTTCCTAGTCTCCGCAGCTTCAACCATGGCAACTGTTCTTCTCTCTTTGAGGTCTTCTTTTGTCAGCTTTCTGCATTCTTTTGCATGTTCAGACTCCCGTGGACGGTTGCCTGTGACTCATGCCATTTCCAGGGTTGCGTATCATCTCGACTATTTCTGGAGACAGACGTCTATTGCTGGCTTTCGAGCTCTCAGCTTTCAGAGCGGTGACGTGAAGGTGTTGAATGAGTCGATCTTGTTCCTTGTGGATGTTATCAATAACGACATTTTCCCAGCAGTCGACTAATGTAGTAAATAAATCCCAGCATAAAACAGACTTTGGGACTTCGTTTTATGGAATTGGGCGGCTTTTCCTCCTTTACGCGGGAAATGAAATCTTACACGGAGGTGATGGTCTGATCCCATGATGTTGGTGCGTACACGACGAAAATTGTCAAAGCCGGTATTGATCTACAGCTCCTCTACCGTAAACGTCTGATTCCAGTTGTTAGCTGTTCGAACGAATCGATTATCATGACCAAACTCGTGTTGACAAGAACGCCGAGGCCGCCGACTCTTGCATTGTCTCATGTTCCAAGGAACTTTTCGTCTCCAGTGTCATAAACGTAGCTGGACGGGTGACGTATTCTCGTCTAACCCATGATGTTGTACCCTGTCCTTCTTGCCTACACGATCAGGTTCTTGGTGGGGTACCCGGATGGTGGAAGTTAGCGTGCCTTGTAGGTACGGATCGTCACCTCAATCCTTTCCGATTTAAGCGGTCTAGAATGGTCCTGAGATTTAAGCATCCTCTCTGTAGTCGCCCTACCCAACGCTGCCGTATCAGGAGCTTTTTTGGGGTCAAGGGAATGAAGTCGACTTATTTTAGCGTGTTTAACATTCCATACCCATATATACTTACTTGGATACTTGGATGGCCCGTCTCCACTAGTTGTGCGGGCCGCAGCATAAGTTCCAGTTTTTCAGAGTTTTGTTGTGATTCCTCGGGGTCCCGAGGTCAGCCAGGCCAAAGTCTGCCCTAGATCGTCACTACTCCGGGTAACCGCCGCCTTTGTGAATCAGAGGAAATTTGCCACCATGCGACTAGTTTGATGTCAAGAAAATGGTGGATCTAGGTATTGCTTTACTCTTATCTGGGCTTCCTGATGGAAACACCGGATTCATTCTTATCTTGGGAACCCCGTGAGGGATGAATTCCACTGTACATAGCAACCTAACATCCGGGAACACCTAGCGACGATGAGGCGGTATACCGTTGGGTGGGAAACCAATGTATACCTTGCTGAACTCTGAACATGGTGACTGGGTATACTCGCGAGTAGCTTAAGAGGTTCCTATAGTAAGGATGAGGAGTTTATTTGTTGGAGGTAATTCCTAACCGGTTGCTCTATAATTCTCTCTCACCTGGTTGCTACTTTTTGGCCGGATGGGCTCCTAGAATACATTCCTCATGAACGAGTACATATCCACGCGCTCATGCATGAATACTTCCTCATCAACATAAAAGGTTTGTGATAATTGGTGCAGCAGAAATAGGGAGTGACTCCGTTGGATTCACTTGCTTTTGAAGGAAACGCAACGTCGCTTTTTGTCCGTGATTAACCTCTTATCCGTCGGACGCGCCACCTTTCTTCGCGACTAACCGGCATGAGATTCTTCTAGAATGGAAATAGTTGGATATATATATATATAAATATATATATATATACAGATGTGAATGTACATTTAGTGGGCGCGTGTGGTGTAGTGGTCGGATGCGCCCTGCAACAAATGGTATCAATCCCAGTGCCCATGGAATATCAAGCCTTCCATCGCTCCGAGGTCGGCAAATTGGTACCAAATTTGTCTAAGAGGATAGCAGCACTGGCTCGGTTCGATACATCAGCAGTAAGCCACCGGGGGTTATTGTAAAGACCAGATATGCATTCAGTCACCTCCAAACGATGCTTAATGATGTCGAATGCATAGAGCATCCCTCAGGGATTGATCAGCGCCAAGAGCTTTATTCTTCATTTATATTTACTGGTATATGTCTATATTCAATAGACCACATCCACATGATAACAAAACCCACTGAAGTATAGCAAGAGCACAAAAGGCCGCTTTGTACCACTTTCATCGATTTGAAGAAAGCACTTGACTCATTTGACATAGAACCATTCATGGAAGCCTTGGACAGGCAGTGTGTCCTTACTCAGTATATAAAGACTTTTCATGAGCTGTATCAAAAGTTCACAACCAACATATCACCATTCTACGATGATATTATCATCGAAATCAAAGGAGGGGCTAGGCAGGGTGAAACACCATCACGTTAAAATTATTTATCGCCACCTTCAGGAACGTCATGCGAACATTGGGATGGGACAAAATGGGAGTAGAAATCGATGGGCGGCAATTACACCATCTTCGTTTTGCTGAAGATATCGTCCTTATGGTACCAAACATTAGGCAAACGGAACGAGTATTTGCCGACTTTGATAAAGCTCTGGAAAACTTGCTCTTCGACCAAATCTCGCAAAAACGATGTTGATGAGGAATGGATTGGTTTCGTATACCCTATTCACGCTCAAAAGTATGAATATCTCCGAATGCTTTAGTTACGTATATCTAACTCGGGAAATCAAAACGATGAACGACTTAGCTCCAGAGTTGAGCAGAAGGAAGCGTGCAGGTTGGAGAGATTTCAAGAGCATCGAGCTCGTAGTGGAGAGAACAAAGAACACCCGACTCCATGCCCCCATCTTTCACTCTACGCTACTTCCTGCCTTAGCATATGCGTCAGTAACCTGGTCACTGCGTAAGCAACATGGAAGATTACCTGGAGTTATTGAACGGGCAGTCGAAAGGACGATGATAGGAGTATGCCGCGTCACAAAAGTAAGGGAAGGGATCCGAAGCTACGACCTGCCTCAGCGATCAAAGATCAAAGTTACCGTTCTATACACCCATTTGTCGATGGTAAGTTGGAGCGGACATGTAATGCCTATGAACGGCAACTGATGTTATTGACCGGATTCCTCGAGATGTCAAACACACTGCGGAGAGACCACCGGCCCGATGGACAGGATTATTCACGAGAAGTCTAGAAGAAAGTTATTTAGTCCGTAGAGCGAGTAGCAGAAGGCACTGGGCTACTCTTGCACGCGAAAGGGAAAATGGAAGATTTACTGTCGCCCACTCGATTCAATCGACTATGAATGATACGACAGGTGTACAACATATATAATATGTATATTCGTATATACACATATATATACATATGTATATATGTGCAAATAGTTTACGTACTACTTACTGGGTCTACTGCACACAAGAGTAGTACAACATATGGTCGCTTTTATCCGCGTTGCTACGATGAATCATGTTTGTCGCAGATAATAAGGCGATATGTAGTAGCATTTTAAGTCATGAAGATAATACGAAGTTTTATCTATAAATCTATTTGATTCCCAACAACTGAACTTCAATAATCATTAAAAAATTGTCAAGAGTTATCAATGAATTGAAGTCCAATACTGTATGCAACATAATTTTTGAAAAACAGTTCGTTGCTTTATCATTTCTTCTCACTATGATGAATCGTGGATATTGTATGAATCGTAACATTGCATAACATATACAGCTTCATTAAATGCTCACAGCAGCGTGAGTGCGTGGTATACGGGTTTTCTTACGGCACATGTGATCCAAGAACATAGAGAGGTACACAGAAGAACACAAAGAATCTATAGTATGGGAGCAACACGGAAAGTGCTTTAAAATGTAGAGAAAAGCCGAACTTTAAGGCGGAAATCACAACAAAAATGATGAGTTTATTGATTTATGGGACACGGTGGTTTTCACTTAAGTGTTAATCCGTGGGTAGCGATTGTATCGCTGCAATTCGAGGTACCATGCAGTATTAACATGGTCGATTGTTCTATCCCGCGCTCGGATTCACCAAGTTTCCATCACTCTTGGGTTGTCAGATTCGTACAAGGTTTCTCTGGGAAGATAGCAGCACTGGCTTGATACATCGGTAGGCAGCAGCAAGTCATTGATTAGGGCAGATGCGCATTTATCCACCTCTGATGATCCCTGGTGAAGTCGGATGCACGGCGCATCCTTCAGGAATTGGTCGACACCCAGGGAATTTTAAAGCTTTAATCTTTACGTTGTTACTGCGTGCTGAATTTTCTATAAATGTTCGGTCACCCAAGCTTGAGGTTTGGTATAGTTGGAGTACTTCTACAAAACCAGTGCAAAACAACACACGTTATATTACAATACTACACTTTCCTTGTCTCACCAAACGTTCCTTAGCATGTTCCTATGTTAACTGTGTTTGTTATTAATGACATCTCACCTTTGCTTTGTATTGCTTGCTGTCACAATCTTCACTTTCTCGCTTTAGCTCACTTATAGAGTTCAGTTGTCAAGCTCTCTATCCACATAAGCACTTTCACTCACTATCTTGCCTTCACTCGACTATATTCTCGTAGCCAGTGGTAGCAACGTCATTGTTTTTTCTCATATCACGTAAACACCATTGCAGAAGAAACTTTGCCATTACTACCATTACTAATGTCACTTTTTGCTCTCTATATGACCTCTACTTACTAGTCATGTTATTGTTTACATTTTTATACCTGAAATCTTGAGATTACCACATCGCTCTTACTATATTATTATTTTTACATATGAAAGTTTAGCTGTCGAGGTTTTACATTCGGTGTGTGAGAAAGTCCTGCGAAGGCTTGTGCTCTCTATTAAGCTAAGAGCTTGTTCGGTACCGTCGGCTGACTCAAGAAACGGTATTCTACTAAAAGTAACGTAGTGTAGCAGTTTAACAAAAACAACCTAGAAGCATCAGTCAATTCGAGGCCAAGGTGTATTTCCAATGGAGTTGGAAGAGAGTAAAGAGAAGGCATTATTATTTTGGGTTTGTTTGTTTTTTTGCTTCCTCAACTTGTTTTACATTTTTGTTTCAATATAGCTTATTCAGTTCAATACATATGGTACATCAATCAGCCTAGGGATTGTCAATTCGTTGAGCTCATTATGGTCTGATCATTTGCCATCGCTCTTAAATTGCTTGTAAGTTTTATTTGATATTTATTTGATATCTTTTTTCTTGACTACCCGAACTCTAAGTTTTTTATTTAGTTTGCGCTTGCTCACATAATTGGATGCCCTGAAATAGTGGTATGCTACAGTCTTAGTTGTCTTTTGTGAAAAAAATAATTTGTTCTGCTTGCCAGCATGTCGACCGGCGTTGATTTCCTTCCAGAAGGACCGGGTCTGCTTGAAATCTTCACATTCATCGTCAAACATTGTAATGTGGTATTTTTCCGTTTTTGTATTGGCTGAAAATACCACGCTCTCCTCCAGTCCACAAGGGAACGCCTTAGCACGGCTATCACCAACATTGCAAGAAAAATCGACTCGACCAGCATTCTGTGGCACTCATAAGCATGGTGAAAACCTCAAACAGCAGCTGAAACAACGCAGAAGAAGTTCGAAGACGTTTGAAGACGACGAATGCTAGGAAAACGATTCAAATACAAAAAGTGTTAGGATCGGTAAAGTAGAAAAATGCATCGGTTTAAACTTACAGTGAGTCATAAAAATAGGACCTTCTTTGTTTGTTCCAGCTACCATTGTTCTGTTTGTCTCAATGGTGCTGAGTATTGATTGACAAATAGAAAACATGAAAAACCTATACATGAAATAGTTTTGCTACCCTGTTTACAGGAACATTTTAATTCCTTCAGTGTTCCTTATGTTTCAGTTTTCCTTGAAATAAAAAATTTTAGAAACAACGAATTTTAACTTTCTGAAAGTTTAGCGCCGTTTCAGCAGCCGCGAGGACTAAGCATTTATTTGGGAATTGATTGCGTATTGGAATGTGATTCAGCTTTAAAAAAAGTTTTATTTTCCAAGTTCACGGATTTTAACACTTAAGGTTTTATACAGCATGAATATTAAATACATAGATTGTCTCCATAATCATTTTCGAAGTGATATTTTTTGTTGACAGGAAACTTCTCGTTTATCGATTGTATTTTTCCCACAAAGGTATCCAATGACGACAATGGATTTGATATTTCCCTTTTTTCTCCTATCCATTAATGTTTTTCAGACATACGGACAATAATACGAGGATCACTGCTTCAAATGCTCTGTCCTCGTACGAAGATTTACTTTCTCACTTTATCAAGGCGAGTGTAAAGGACGAAATCATTGCCTCACTCTCAGTGGAGAAAGCAGCTGCTGGAAACGGCTTAGAGATTGCAAAGGTTTGAGTTCAAGAATCGTTTGTACATGAACATCCTTGATGAGAATAATACTGGATTCGAAAATATGAATGTTTTTTGAAGTACATTTTTCCAAAGTTGATTTGCTCTAATCTGTTGGTAGAAATGATTTTAGAAGTACATTTGTATTTCATGGAATGTTTATGGTGTGGACTCTGAAAAATCGTAAAACTGTTGTAGAATCTCTTAGGGATATATTCGTTTTTCAGTTTTAGTTGATTTGAATTTGTACCAGGTTAATGAATCAACTATGGTCTTGCTGAATAGGTGGTTAAACTAGTAATAGATCCGTAATGAACAAGAGAAACATTGTTTTCCATCGAAGTTTACGGAGAAAATCCATACAATAAACTCTCGTCAGTTGGACTACTTTTCGAAAATATGCGCAGTTTGAGACAGTTACAGTAGGCGGTTTTCATGCAGTACTTTTTTTGTTCATTTCGTTGTCTTGCAACCGTCACACATCGATGTCGTTGTGCTCGTGTTTGTGTTCGACTGCGACTTGACGACCAGGATTCGTTTCTGTTCTCGGCAGCAATTCTGCTGCTCGTCAGACGTAATCTGCTAAACAATCCTGTGATAATCGTGCTACAACGTTCCTGGGTTTTCACCAACTATGTTCACCATGTCTAAGAACTATGCTGCTTTGTAACCTGGGTCCTTCCAGAACGAGAGCGAAGTTTCCGATTGGTCGGCCTCCTCGAGGGCAGACTCTATTATAGAACTTATGAATAGATTATGATAAGCTAGATCACCTGTATCAGCAATTATCCCATTGACCGTTGAATGACCCCAGCGAGCGCCAGTAAACCTTTCAGTTATCCTTGTCGCTTGCAAGAATAGCCCAGTGGATCTCGTTCGCTCTAGGGATTCGTTGAACACCATATCGTTCTTCTAGGGTTTTCGTAAAACTCTAGCCACGAAATCGATGGTCTTTTTGCTCTATGTTTAACATCTCGAGGAATCTAGTAGCTGAAGGGTTTTTTTTCCACCGGTTGTCGATCATACGCATTACGTGTCTGGTTCGGCAATTTGGCATACGAAACGGAGTCTTTGATCTTTGATCGTTGAGGCAGGTTGGAGCTTCGGACCTCTTCCATTACTTGTGTGACACGGATACGCCTAGCATCGTCCTTTCGATTGCGTACAGTGATCTTTCATCCTGCCTACATAGCAACCAGGTCGCAGGCGCACTGATTAAGGCCTCAAGAATCGTAGAGCCGAAAACGTTGGCACGGAGTGGTTTTCTTCACTACATCCCCGATGCTCTTGAAAGCTCCTTAAACCACTCGCTTCCTTCTACTCAATTCTACTATGTCGATTTCCCGCTCTAGATAGTGGCCGATGGAGCAATAGGAGACATTGATACCTTTGAACGTGAATAGGGTCTACGATACCAATCCATTCCTCATCAACATAGTTTTTGTGAGAGTTATTCGAAGACCAATTTTTCCACAGGCTTCATCAAAGTCGGCAAGCACTTGTTCCGCTTGCCTTATGTCTGGTATTATATGAACGATCTCACCAGCAAAGCGGAATGATGTAATTGTCGGCCATCGATTTTCACTTCCATATTGGCCCATTCCAACGTTCGCATGACGTTCTCGAGAGTGGGGGGTGAAAAATTTTGGCTATATGGTATCGCCTTGCCTAACCTCTCTTTTGACATCGATATTCATATCGTTACAGAATGGTGATATTTTAATTGTGAACTTTTATACAGGTGGCGAAGAATCGTTGTATACTGAAAAGTTACTTATGACAATCATGGGTTTCCATGACTGCTTCTCAACTGAGTCAAAAGCCTTCTTTAAATTGCTGAAAGTGAAACTTAGTGGTCTCTTGTAATTACAGAATAAAACGAAAACGAGAAAATAAGGAGAACGCGAAAGTTGCTTAGTGATAGACGAATGCATGTCTCTGGATAGCAGGGAGGAACAAAAAAGAACACAAAAAACAGCAGAATAATTATTAGAATGAGGAAATCGGTCTACGTAGCGATACACGGTGGTAATGCTGTCCTCCTAACTACTTTGCTGAAACGCCTTTTAGCTCAATATCACCGTAGATCAGTAGACTGACCGCTAACATCATTCCGTTCGACACGATGAAGTTGAGGGCCATGTCATCGTTTTTTCTGAGGAGATTGACGTTGAATCTTTTCGCTTTCTTCTCTACGGTGCCAAACGTCAGTAGTGTTTTATGAACGTGGAAAACGGTTGCAATTCCGCTCTCCTACGGCACAGGATAGTATTTCTCTCCTAGTGCACGTGGTTCAAATAAAGATCACCATCGATCGAAAGGTGAGTGATCGAGGAGAGTGGGAGACGGTATTCATAGCGTTTGAACTCCTTATAGTCGATGACTACCTGGAAATGGTCGTCATGGCACGGATTCGGATGTAAAATGAACCCCCTTTCTTACTTGAACCCGATTTGCGCTCTTCCTTTTTTTTTTTACCGTATTCGCCATTTGCGAATAGTGTTCGTGACAATCTTTTCCTCGTCAAAACGTACTGAGATATGGAGTCGGACGTCATTTCCGGAGAAGTCGGTTCATTTACAGTGCAGGTTGATGGTGAACCTCCATCAACCATCGATTCTCAACCCTTTGATAATCAATGTTTGTCTAGGTTCAATCTTCTGCTCTAGAAGACTGTGGTATGGTACGGGATGTGATTTATTGCCCGTCCCGGCAGAAGTTTACTGTCAAACTTGGGTAATTAAACTATTGGTGTTGTGGTACCGCGATGCTTCAGTGAACCTTGTTATCTTGTATATGTGCTCTACCATATTGAGCTCTTTCCAAAATCCCGCTTTTTCACATGCGTTTCCTTCATTCAGCGTCCTATCTTCTCTCTTTAGGATGACTCGAGTGATAAGTTTGTAGACGGCAGACATCAAATAGATTGAGGATTAGTTTCCGATATCGTGGAGGTCACCCTCTCCACTGAGTTCGTTTTCCACTGAGTTCGAGCCTTGCATATTCTGACAGGTAATGTGTAAAGAGCCGAGCTTTTGTGTTGACGAGGACTGCGGGAATGTTCTCTAGATGTCCAAATATTATGCTCTCTGGACCTGGTGTTGTTCGATTGTTCACATACGAAATAACATGTTTGACTTCAGAAGGGAGAATTGGTGGACGATACACCGACTTTTCCTTATTTCATCTAATGGCAAGAGGACGTGGCTATTGAAGTGATCCGAGTAGTAATCGTGAACGATTTTATTTTTTCCTTTCTGGAAGCTGATCTGAGTGTTTTTTTCTAAACGTTCTGTAGTCGTTTAAGTGCAGTCATCTTGCTCTTGCAATTAGCAAATTTTCGGTGACCTTTACGAATGCTTTCCTCGCCTTCGCAGGTTCGACCGTGGCTGCTGCTCTTCCCTCTTTACGACTTTTTTAAAAAATCGTCTTTCTGTATTATTTTGCAAGTTCGGACGTGGGACGGCTGTTGCCTGCAGCTAGTGCGATTCCACGCTGGCGGATCAGCTCGACCGTTTCTGGAGTCAAACGTCTGTTGGTGACTTTCGAACTCAGCTTTCATGGCACTAACGTGAAGATGTTGAGTGAGTCGATCATATTCCCTATCGATATTATCAGTAACGACATCTTGCCAACAGCCGACTAATGAACTGAGTAAATCCCAGTTTATGGTAGTTTTAGGATTTCGTTTTTTCAGTTTAGCAGCTTTCTTCTCTTTCCCCGAAACATGAAATTTTACACGAAGGAGCCGAAAGTCTGATCCCGTGTTGAATTTTGCGATAATGGCGACATGTGTTAGGCAAACCCTTGGTTTACTACGATGTGATCCTCTCCATTTAGACAGTTCCTCGTCCAGAGTTAAGAGCGGTGCTTCCCATATTGATCCACATGTCAGCCATAAGCTTGCGATTCTGGTTGTTAGTTGTTCGAATGGATCGATGTTCATGGCCAAACTCCTGCTGATGAGAACTCCGATGCCGTCGACTGTACTGCCTCGTGTTCCGACGAGCAATTCTTCCCCGCTGTCGTAGGCGGGGTTGAATGGACGGCGTCTTATTGTGGGTGCAGATCGTCACCTTTCCCTTTGTGGTTTAGGTAACCCAGAATGACTATGAGATTTTAGCGGCCTCTTCGTGCTCTTCCTATCCAAGGTGCCGTATTGACGGCCCTTTCGCCGTTAGGTGAATGAGGTCAACTTGTTTTACTGTGTTAGCCTTTGATACCGACGGTTGGTTTGTTGTGCACTGAATGTGACCTAGGTGTAGTCACAGCTAGCTTGCCAGTCTTTGCCAGGGCAGATGTGGAGGCTTATTTCTTCAAGTCGACTCTTCACCGTTCTCCGTAGTTTCTGTTACTTGATTGCAGACTTTTGACCGAACGCGCTCGTATAATACAATCCGCATAAACGAGAACGTACCCACGTACGCATGCATGAATACGCACTTGTAAACTCAGAAGGTATGTGCCAAATCGATGCTGCAGAAACTCGGAGTTCATTCCCTGGATACGCTTGCGTCTCAGGGAAGCAAATGTCGCTTTTTGTCTGCGACTAACCACCCCTTTCCATCACCTGGGGTCACGCCACATCGCATCGCGAGTAAGCGGCGTGATATCCCTCTGTTAGGGAGATCGGTGACAAGATAAACAAGACAAAACAGAATTCACCGTGGAGCGGAATATGGAATGCTTACTCTAATCGAGTACCTTTCTCTACGGTGTTGTTAATATCAATAAAGCACCAGTGTCTTATGTTGGTTTTTCCGCTATGAATCTATGTTCGATCCACATTTTTGAGAGGTCGGAATTTGTGTGTTGTTCTTAATTTTGTACCTTCAGCTTTTTCTAATGACTCTCATTCGATGGTACATCTGTAGCAGAAGATTCTGCACCATTTATCGTTGGGTTCCCATTATGCTAGTAGTTCTAACAATCAATGTCAGTTTCATGTTTTTCGCGTAATGAGTACTCGAGTTCATTATGATGCTGGGTAGAGGGTTTGATCGCTTCACTCGCCAAGAGTTGGTTGATGTGAAGATCAGTGTTATGGCGTTCAGGTCAAGAGGTGTTCCAGATTTCCAGTTGGTAAAATCGTGTCTGCTTGATGTGTAGTAATGAATGTTGTGGAATTAATTTCATATTCCACATAAAAGTTAAGGGCGAAAATTTCACAGTTTTCTTCATAGTATAAATAGCCGTAAGTGGCTGAAAAACAGGTCACTGTGAGTGAAAATCCTTAAGAAGTTTAGTGTCTTAGATTAATTTCCATCATTGTTCATTAGTTGAAAGGTTTGGGATGGAACACCAGTTTTCTGCGAATGTAGGCAATTTTGTTGTAAACAAAAATGTTGTTAGTTGTTTGTTCCTATTTCTAGTTCCTAGCTGTGTTACTCAATGAATTTCGCATCTCAAAGCCAGATGTTATCACCGAAAGTGTTGCCGTTATGCATAGGGATGGTCACGATGTTCCACTGAGAGAAATTGTAAGTTGTTTTGATGTACTTATTCTTCTGTGGTGTTTTAGTACTTTGTGTATGAGTGAATGAGTTGTGAATGGACTTTTGGATATACTAGGTTGCCTGGAAGCTAATGTTCGATTTCGACTCGTATTTTCAAAATGGTATATCTCAACTCAGAATAAACGTTAACCGAATTAAAAAGTTTTGTAATCTACACATTTTTGAAAGCAAGGTACATACTTATTATTCCAGTTGTTTAAAATTCCTGACTTCTGGGAGCGATAAAGTCGATGAAGGCAGTTTTGGCCCTTGCTTGGTTTCTGAAGTATTTCTTGCGTAGTAAGTTTTCAAGATGCTCGAAGAAGTGGTAGGCGGTAGGTGAACGTATGGCGAGTACGGTGGACGAGGTGGAGTCTTGTGGCTCAGCTGGTTTAAGTGCCACAGCATCGGTAGTGTGAAGTGTGGTCGCTCGTTATTATGCCGAAGAATTGGTACCTTTTGTTGATCAGTGCAGAGCACAATCGATGAATTTCTAATTTTTTTTCGCGAGTGAACCAGTGCCAGGATCTGTCACCGTCCTTGTATTAAACCAGTACCATGCTGGCAAGTGTCCCTCTGATCCACAAGGGTGGCCACTGGTTGTGGTGATGACGACCTGGGTTAGACTTTGGCCAGGTTGACCTTGGGACTCTAAGGAACTACAGTGGCTAAACTAGCAAAACTCGGAAAAGTGGAGATCATGCTGAAGCCCGCGCAACCAGTGAGGACTGGCAATCCATGTATCCAAGTAAGTAAGTATTTTTTTTATATGGTGGACGTACTTCGTCGCCATAATCGTTTCACTCAGATTCAGGAAGCTCATGCATCATTCCAGTTGCGGACCACCAGTAGATCAGCGTGTTTGTCTCTTATTGCAATTTCAGCTTTGGGAAGCACAGCAGAGTTTCATTGTGGTCCATTCACTGGACCGATCGTCATCGGTTATCGTATAGGATCCATTTCTCGTCGCACATCACAATACGGTTTTTAAACAGTATACATTTACTTCCATAAAAACACAATACAATACAACGCTAGCTGACGTTTCGGCAGTATCGCCTTCTTCAGAGCCTGGAAGGGTATACTGATATACAATCTACTAGGCCAAACGCTTCAATAACACTTACACAAAGACGAAAAACTCTTTGGTAATTACACGATCAACAACTTCTCGAAAAACCCACCGCTTTTTCGTGACTTCCAATGAGGAAGTTTAGAACAGCTGATTATAGTCGCATGTGGTTGACGACTGCACCATCCCACATCAAAAATCGATGCGAACGTACGGGATCAGGTCGCGTATGATCTCCGGGCATTCGTCCCTGCTATTCATTGTAGGGTTTTTGGCATTGATCCAAAAAGCCTCTAGGAGTTTTCGCGCTGGTGTTTTGGACTCCTGTGCAAGGATATTGACTTTCACTTCAAAATCGTCTCCGCTATGCTTTTGTATCCAATGCGTGCCTAGTGGGGTGCTTCGTCTTAGTTTTCGTTTGCCATCTAGGTGTTCTTTTATACGGATACACAAAGGTCTGCCAGTTTCGCCAATATATTCATCTCCGCAATTGTTACACGAGATCAGGTATATCGTACCTGAACTCATGCAATCACCGTCCCTGCCGTAAGGGCAAATTACACAATTTGTTGTTTCACACAGACGGTCATACAGGCGGTTGCGAACTTATTGNTAACACTTACACAAAGACGAAAAACTCTTTGGTAATTACACGATCAACAACTTCTCGAAAAACCCACCGCTTTTTCGTGACTTCCAATGAGGAAGTTTAGAACAGCTGATTATAGTCGCATGTGGTTGACGACTGCACCATCCCACATCAAAAATCGATGCGAACGTACGGGATCAGGTCGCGTATGATCTCCGGGCATTCGTCCCTGCTATTCATTGTAGGGTTTTTGGCATTGATCCAAAAAGCCTCTAGGAGTTTTCGCGCTGGTGTTTTGGACTCCTGTGCAAGGATATTGACTTTCACTTCAAAATCGTCTCCGCTATGCTTTTGTATCCAATGCGTGCCTAGTGGGGTGCTTCGTCTTAGTTTTCGTTTGCCATCTAGGTGTTCTTTTATACGGATACACAAAGGTCTGCCAGTTTCGCCAATATATTCATCTCCGCAATTGTTACACGAGATCAGGTATATCGTACCTGAACTCATGCAATCACCGTCCCTGCCGTAAGGGCAAATTACACAATTTGTTGTTTCACACAGACGGTCATACAGGCGGTTGCGAACTTATTGACGACGTAGAGTAGCCGGTGGTATTTCAACTATCGCTACCGATTCCTCTAGACTTGCCCCTCTTAAGCATCGTTTTATAGCTGCGCTTACTTCGTCGCTTATAAAAGGCAACATAAACGGGATTTTGTTTTGGCCAAGCGTTTCGCGTGGGCGCGTCGTTCTCCTTGTAAACTTATCTCGTGGGGTTACTATTTCGTAGCCGTTGGATATGGCTATTTGCCGGGCCAAGTCGCGCGATTCTTGCTTTAGTTCCCTGGTAGTGCACACAGAGGTGGCTGTTCGAAACATGTTTCTCACAATCGCCCTCTTTGTGTGTGAAGTGTGGGAAGAAAGGAAATGGACAAGGATGTCCTTGTTACTTGGCTAATGCCGAGGTTAAGAGAAAGTCGATCTTGGGAACTATCACAATATGGTTTTCAAAAAAAAAAAGTTGTTCTAATTGCGTAGGAAAAGCGCTGACGATAGAAAACAGCGGTTCTAAAAGTTTCCATTCATTTCGCATGGCATACATTTGAGAAGCTTTAGAATCTCTATTTCTTTCTCGGATGCTGCAAAGCTATCGAATTCCCTAGACCTAGTTCTTATGGATGTTCTTGAACAGTTGCGCAATTATTTACTCCCATCGCACCGTTCAGTTCATCGTCGTCTGTAGCAGAGGAGCGTCCGTGACTTTCCTGAATTTCAAGATCGAGTTCACGACAGCGAGATTTTTGAAACCAACGTCATGCCGTACTTTCATTAACACTTCCTTCGTTCTGGACGTCATTAATGCTTCAACTCGATTGTGTTTCACCGTGTTCGATTTCTAAGTATTCTAAGAGTAGATTTGTCGAATTAACTATTTTCACATTTGAAATTCTAGCATTTAAAATTTGTCAGAAGCACAGTTCGTGTTGTAATTTAATTAAACAGAGTGGCAGAGCCTTGCAATGATTTATAGTAGCAAAGCACTCTAGGAAAAAGAAAGTTGCTAAAACATGTACTGGAAATGAAATTGCAGATCGGTCGTTAACTTCCAACAACTTAGTATTTCTGTTGGAACATACAGTTGTGCAGCGTTTTTGTGATCTTTCCATGAATCATGTTGCTGAAATTTAGGTCTCTTTACTTCACTAATTCTGCGTTTTTTTAACCGTTTGAATTGAGTTGAATGCATTCGATGAGGAAGAAAATGACTGGTGGTCAGTGATGATTAAACGTTCTGACGCCGAAGTCAGAATGTGCAATCCACAATGTGCTACTCCACGTCGGTCCAGTTTATCAGTGGAAGAGTTTTCGGGAATGTCAGGTATTCTGCTTCACTATCCACTGATTTCTTAGTATCAAATTGCTGCATGCAACATTTAGTTGGTCGATCATCATTCGTCACTCCATGTGGTCCAAACAGACGGCGTAACAATAGCATTAATTTAAGTCTTCATACGGTTGCACGTTGTGATGGTAGTCCACTTCTGGAGGCAATTAATTCTCCAAAAGTCAGGTAGCGCTCACCAGAACATTGCTGAGTCTCTCCCAATTTGTGTTTCTCCATTAATTTTCTAACTATTAATTAAGAGAATTACGACGCGAACGCGAAATCAGAACTTTGAGAAGACAGCTAAATGAGATCGAGGATCAACTGATGAATTCTGAATTACAAGTTTCAGAGTCTAGGAACAAAATCGAGTCACTTGTTGGAGAGTAAGTGGCAAAAATTTCATATCATTCGTAATTGTTTTTATATCTAGAGCTTTCATTTGCTACAAATAACTCTTATTTCCATTTTCATATTTGCATATCTTCTTACTTTAATTTAAGAATAGCAAAGAAGAACGAACGTATCCGTGACTTGGAATCGAATGGAAAATTGTCACAAAGGTCTCAAGCAGAATTGGAAGCTAAAGTTGTGCTATTAACAAAACATTTGGAAGGGTATCAATACCAGTGTCATAGCCAGAAGGAGAGGGTAGGTCTTTTAGAAGTCGTTACCCATTTTTTTTATACTCACATCTTTTCGTTATTTGTTTAGTTGGCAGCGTATAAGCTGAATGTGGAGGGACTGGAGGAGAAGCAAATGGATTTGAGTGAACAGCTGGAAACCAAAAGTAGTTCTATTGCTGCCTTAGAAAGAGAGTTGCGTGATGTTAAAGATGAGGCAGTGAAAAGTCTACAGGTGCTTTTATATTCTCGCAAAATTTAATGTAATTCTCCATAATTTAGTTTTCAGCAAATGCGTATATTAGACAATGAGCGTAACACTCTTATGAGGCTACTGGAGGAAGAACGGCAAGCTGCGACATCAGAAAGAGAACAGTATCAAAGAGCTATTTCTGAGTGGCGGAAACGACTAGAGGCCGAAGTGAGACTTTAACGTTTTCTTCAAAACGGGAAAAAGCACATTGGAAACTTGAATTGAATAACAAAGTCAAATTAACACTGTATACTTGTTGTTCAGACCGCGAACGCGATGTCCATATACTCAAATGAAATGGGAAAGAACGCTTTGCTTCAGCAAGAGATTCGGGAAAAGACTGAGCAATTGGAAAAGACTCGAATTTTATACGATTCTGACAAACGTTCTTATGAAAACACTATTGAAGAAATAAAAAGGCGCCTACAAGACAAATATGACGGCGTAAGTTTGTTGATGATCTGTGCCTGTTACTATTTTAAAAAATTCATTTGGTATTCAGGCAATGAAGAGTCTTGCTGAAGCAGAGGCGAAGCTCTCCCATCAGGAATCACGGCATAAAAGTTTTGTTCTTGAACACGAAGCGGTCGTGCAACAGCTTGAAAGTGTTCATTTGGCGGAAATTATCCAACGTGACACGAAGATAAGTGCTGCTTGTACTCGTATAGAAGAGGTCGGTAAGCACTTTAAATGTGTTTGGTAAGATTGCAACATTGTAATCTACGTTATGTATTCGCTAGTTTTTAGTTGGAGGCCATTATGATTGACCGTGAACGCAGTATACTCGAACAGCGAAAGGATCTAGCTAACATAACAATGGAAAAGGACGCGGCTGAATTGAAATTACGCAGTATACAAATTGTTCTTGATAAGAAGGAGGATCAACTTCATGAGGCCACTGTGATGATCGAAAAGCTAAAGGAAGACCTGGAATCCATTGCGTCGAAATACAACGACACCAACCGCTCTTTAGAAATCGTACAAGCTGAATGTTTGGAGTTGAAGTCAACTGTTAGCCGAAAGGGCGTTGAAATTTCTGAACATGTTAAAGATTTGAAATCGTTATCTGAAGAGCATAATGAAGCGTTGGACGAGCTTAGGCAGACGAAACAATGTCTTGAGGAGGAGCGAAAACTGCTCAAGTGTCAGGAATCTGAGGCGAGAGCTATAATTGAGGGCTTAAAGGAAAAGGTTCGTAGCAGTACTATTATATTTTCAGCGCATTTTAGTCTATATTATCTGTTTGATTTTCGTGCTATGTTTTTTTTCGGTATTTGTGTTTATTATTTATACTTGGGTCCTCCCAATGGGTTATGGACTCATCGTACCTTGGTGGTGTCGGACTACGATGTAAAAGAAGGGTGTTATTTCTTGATGGGGTCTCGAAAGTTCAAAATGAGTTCGACGTTTTCATCCGGAGGCCCGGCTAAGAAACCAGTATTAGGAAACACTTCTGTTCTGATATAAATTTAGTGACAAGATGGCAAATTTCCATCATCTACAATATCCTGTGGTAGCGACCTGAGCGAGGCTCCAAATAGATTGAAATAGGTACTCCAAGGAACCAGAAATGGCTCAACCAGCAATAAACTAGATGTAATACCTCACACACTGGACCCTCTTGTCTATGACGGTGAGCGGTGTGATAACCGGTGAGAAGTGACCAATTTCGGGCTGCGCAACGTCATTGGAACCAGGTCGAACGAACACACCCACGGTACACCATAGAGACTGCTTGTGCTGCGCCCAAAATACGAGAATAGTTTTACCGTTTTATTTACTGCCTACTCTTTTTTGTGGGAGGGTATATTGAGAAATATAACTTCAATGATGCTGAGATATTTGCAGAACTCCGGATCATAGGTGTCTGCTGTGGGGAATGAACACGCTATTACCTTCGGGGGCGAAAGTCTTCACCACCACACTATGCGAGTCCTTCGTTTCGCCTTCATCTCACCATTGTTATTGATCTTCTAGGTGCTATCAGCAATCACCCGTCAACGGGATTGATCTAGGGAGCATGAATCGGTACTGAACCCAGTTAAGCTGAGGCTTTAGTTATAATCACAATCTTAACCGGTTTATTTACTGCCTACTTTACTATGACAGAGATCGATAGAACTAACTGAGAGACGCGAAACGAAGGATCTGCATAGTGTGGTGGTGAAGGCGTTGCTCTCCGGAAAGGACAGTAGCGCGTTCGATCTCCACCGCAGGCAACTGCGATCCGGAGTTTTGCGGTGATATTGGCTTTGTTGTACACCCACATTTCCCACCAGGTAATTTTATACGAACCAAATACAGTTGGAGAATTTAGGACTCTTTTTCAAGCAGTTGTTTGGAAAAATGCCTTTAATTTTCACGCTGTTGTTGATTAACACCCATGTCTGTCTAGTTAGTGGTACTGGAAGGCAGGAGTGCCCACCACACAGAAGCTTTGTCGTTGCTGGAAGAGAAAATTAAATTACTGCAAAACGGTGAAGAAGTTAGTGAGGTGAGAATAGTTTAGTTTTTACTTGGATATGCGAAGGCATGCTACCTTCCTACGGCGGATTACCCACTTTGTTTTTTATTGTTGTGTAGTCACTTGTTTGTTTTTTTAAATCTAAGTAAATGGTGACTAAGAAGTTTTCTAGGAGCTTTCCGAAGGCACGTGTGAACAACAACGTGAAGAAAAAAAGGCGTTAGAAAGAGAAGATCTGCTTGGTTTGCTTAAGAAGTTTGAAAAACTGGAGGTGCATTTGATGTCACGGAACATAAAATTTATTTTTAACTTTAAATGTTTCAGACTGACTTCTTCCTCGCATTGGAAAGGAATAGTAAACTTGAGTTGGAAGTTATGAGTTTAAGAGAAGAAAATGCTTTATGGAGCAAATATTTGGAAGTGTTATCCTCCAGCGAGGGTTCTTCTCAACCTTCATTGCAAGAAGCGGTAACCGTTTTTGTTCATCTTGCTTACTTACTTGATACTTGAACGATCATGACTGGTGCGGGTCCTAGCACAATCACCATTTTTCGGATATTTGCTGGTTAAGCCATTGTGGTTCTCTGGAATCTCGAGGACAGCCTAGCCAAAGTCTGCCTCAGATCGTTACAACGACAAGCAGTCGCAGCCCTTGTGGATCAGAGGGAGATTTACCACTATGCGACTTTGATACCAAGACGGTGGTGGAGCCTGGTATTGGTTTACTCTTAGCTAGGCTTCCTGATGCAAACGCCGGACTCCTCGGCTTGGGAGACCCTGCCGGTGGGGACGAATCCCCCGCTGTACATCGCACTCCGACACCAAGGAACACCTCTCAGTCACGATGAGGCAGTAAACCGTTGGGAGGTTGTTCATCTCTGTAGTATAATTAGCATGTGCGCGTATAGCTTAAGAGCTCGACTATACTAAAAAAAAAAGAATATTTGCATGATAGATAAAGATATTTTGGCCAGTGTGGTGTATAAAGTGGTGTATAAAGTGGTGTATATAAAGTTGAAAAGAATTGTCAAGCAGTGTTTGCTCTGTGATATAAACGATGAGATAATTTCGATGGTAATGTTGGAACACCAATAGGTACAGCAGATGTAGGTGAACATTGGCCTTAGATCTTTCGAAGTTCTAGGTAAAATCATTGTCGGAGATTGATACACCAGTGGATACTCATTTGCATTCGTCGTGGTTAGGTCAGTTGTGCCTTATTTTTCTTCAATTTTACCTTTTTCCGTATCTTTTAGCTGCTTACCTCTTTACATTTTTTCAAAATTCAGAGCATCTTGAAAATGAAGAAGAACTACAATTTTCTGCGATAAGGACTCAACATGGAAAATTGGTCAGTTATTAATGTTACATAGTGGGTAGAAGCTTTTTGAATTCATCTAATATTTTTAGAACGAAATCTTTACAGCTTATATTATCTACAATACTATCTACGTTATCTACAATTCATCGAATAACTAGATCTGTGAAATCTCAGTTCGTTTCAATCGTGCATCAGGGAATTCCACTGGACTCAGCTCCCTCAAGCAACATGCACAGTACCACACTTGTAGTAGGAGGACATGTGTACCTAGTTTTTTTTAGGAAGTATGTATTTAAAGGTAACTCATTAGGGTTTGCAAAGGAATAGTTGAGTTTCTAGATGCAGGTGTCGAATATCTTACCTTAAGAGAGATCCTATTATAAGACGAATTCACTTTTGTAAATCTTAGTTTTGGTACACATAACTATGTCGCTTGCCACAGTGCTGTAAATCATTGGGGTTCAGGTGAGTGCAGGGTTATATCGATGATAAGAACTTTTATTGAGGAAGAACTACAAAACTCCTGTCAGATTAAGGCAGTCCTTTCTTTTTTGAGGTAGGCAATAGTTTACAATTGACGTTTAGCTACATTAGTTACATTATAAATGAAATGGCAACCACAAGGATGATAATCTTGTTTGTGGAGGAGGTAGGATGTGTGAGTTGATAGTACAGAAGAGGAAGTATGTACATCAGGAGTTGTGTACCGTTAAGGTTGCATGTATTTTGTTGTGGGTCTCATCCGAAAGGCATTTGTTTGTCGTCGACATTTTCTTCAGGTTCACTTTGTCGTGAGCAAGAGCTGCTGACCTTTGCTCCCATGTTTTCGGGCTCCATTTTTTGCATAACATATTGAGGGTTGTACCGCTATGGAGGGCGGCTCTTACGTCCGCGGTGACGTTGAGGACTAGCTAAATTCTGGTTCTGAAGTCGCTGCATTTCATATGAATTGTTTTTAGATTCGTATAGTTTCACTTATCAAGAACTATTATGGTTCTACCGCTTTTCTTTCAAAGTATTTGCTTTTTTGCCGCTTATGGAACTCCGAAATGATCTGTTAAGGAGAACTGATGTAGGTATAATTCCAATGTTATGGTCTAATGTTTTCAAAATGGATGTATACGATTTATGGGCTAAATAACGTGCTGGATAATGGGAAGGGAAAGCGCTGGGATCGTTTTTTCGTTCCTTGTGAGATGTAATTGAGGAAGATGGATATGGTTATCTGAAACATTGGATTTGGCAGCTTGATCTCTTTGCCTTCACTTCAAACTGCAGCGATTCTTTCATCGATTGTCTTTGTTCTGCAATCTGAGATGAAGTGGTTTTATGACTGCACTTTTTAACTTCCACAGCTTTCTCGCGTGAAGAGAATAATTCTTGCAAAATACCCCCACAGTACGATTCTTCTTTAAGTCATTGAAAAAGAAATCTCTTCGGTTTAGCAAAACCTTCAGTTGCTGGGGATGTAGTTAGTCTGATCGAAGTCATAAGCAATCAAAAGAATTGCTGAGACTCACGCAACATGTGTGGTCGAACCATCTTTTGCGTAGGGTTTGTGAACTGACAACTTCTTGGTGTTTTAACGCAACAGTCTGCATTGACACCAATGCGTATCTATTAATTTAGCGATTGGAATAAAAGTCACTAAAATCTAGAGATTAGTGACCTTCAATTCTCTACAAAACTGGGGTCTTGGTTTTCTGGAGCCTGCAAAGAGCCATTATCTTTCGCGCTTTTCTCCGGTGCTGGTATTTCGGACTGTGAAGCTTTTAAACAAATTGGAATTCTTCCGGTATCATTGTTTTAATTAGAATTCTTATGAACTCTATCTTGTTCGAAGTATTTTTCTCTAGTCCTAGCAAAATTGTATTTTAAACACTTCTGGAATGCGAATAAGATTATTCACATCTTTATAGCGATAGATCTCAATAGCAGAAAAGTCTCTTCTACACTTCTATCGATTTTCGTGGCTTTTCTAATGAAAACAAAAGAAACTCCAGGCACCAAAACAAATACCAAATCAGAAGTAAAAAGTCGCCAATGTACTGATAGTTATTATTTCCTATAGGTAGTTGATTTTTTTGATATAGTTGTTAGTATGTTCTTACATACTGTGAATTTTAAGACCACAAGTGAGGCGATCCTCTTCCGCTTCATTTCCATTGGATTTTCACTATTGGAATGATTTATAGATGGAAATAGAAGACAAGAGTGCTAGCAACAGCGTGCCGTCTTCTGTTTCCAACGGTTCACAGCCGACGCACAGACATGCCTCTTCGAGCATTGCGTCGAGAAGCAATAGCGTCGCGAGCTCATTACACAGCGGTTTTTGTCGCAGTACCTCTGTGCAGAAGTCAACCAGCTCGAAGCTTTCATTAGTGGAATCCTGTAAGTAAATAATTTACGCACTTTCATTTATTGTAGTCCTCATATTGTTGGTTGATGAAGAATTTTGCTTATACCTCACGTTTTCACTTTTTCACCTCTTTACGCGTATTGAGAGTTTTTCTGTTTAAATGATTGCTAGGTAAATTTTCGAATTATGGTCCAAAATTTGCAGTAAGAAAGGAACGCTTTTACAACTGAAGATTTGTTTTCCTTTTAGTTGTGAATAGATCTTTGTTTAGATGCTTTGGAAGCTAAGGACGTTGCAGACTTAGATACAGATCGATCAAGAGTCAGTGAGCTGCAGAGAAGAAACGCGTTAGCATCTAGGACTTTCTTTAGCTGTTTTTTCTTACTTTTAACTCCTATTTAATTTTCCGTTTACCGATTTTCTTTTCTTTTCCACTTACCAGTGAATTTCTATCAGCATAGTAATACTCTGCAGTTGTAGAACGTAATGTAATTACTTAACGGGATGTTTTATAATTTCCTAATTTTTCACTGCATCCAGTTTTGGTTGAAAGAGAACAGAGTGGACTGGTGTATGTTTCACCATGAATTGAAAATGAGTAAATGAAACGTTTCGCATACCCGACATGGGTAGGTACACCCTTTAAACTCTACACAGTGTTTCTCTTTTCACAGAAAACGAGATTGACTTTGTATATTGATTCGTATTTTGAGGGGATTCTGTTGTTGATAACATCGTCAAAGAATGCACAGTGATCATGAAAGATCTTGACATTAATAAAAACGCGATGGTTCCACAGTGACAAAGGGATGTCTACACCTAGAAACACTCGAGCTGATTCGTCATGGTGGAGTCCGTTGGCATTTAACAATTTATTGCAGCGCTCGCAAGGCGACACAATGCGAACCTAAACAAAAAAAAAGCAGCAACATCACATCGACATTTAACTATTGTAAACAAAAGTATTGCACGTTGTAAAAATGTTTGTTATTATACAAGTTTTGGTTCTTCAGGATGCTACATCCGACTATGCGTTGTGCCTACGCCACAGAAGTTGCCGCTTATAATTCTCCTTCAGGAAGTGAAAACATAGTGAAACACGGAAGCCGGAGCGCAAGGAGAAAGAGTGGGGTGAAGGTGACGATGCTTAATTGTGACTTTATAGAAAAAATGACATTTGTATAATAGCTAATTTTTAGTTTTTACTGCGAGCCTCCTCATACGTGAAGAGAAAATTCCCTCTTTCGGACTCAACCAACTCCCTGGAAAAACACTAATGACTTTTCATCAACTGTATACGACGATTTTTAGCAGAAAATTTCGATTTGATTGATTTTGTGGAATACTAAAGAGGCATTGTAGCTCTTATAACCTATTAACTTATTGTAATTTCTTCAAACGCTTAGAACATCAACTTATTGTCATTAACGTCACCTTGACTGCTCTGATTGGTGATGCAGCCTATAATTGTTAATTTTTGTATAACATATTCATGATTGTAGATAGTTACGGTACCACTGTGAATCAAATTGGATGGCTTTTCAAACTACCAAGTTTCTGAGTGCTGTCTTGATGTGTTCAGTGACAACGGCGAGCTCACGTATTTGATGTAGTTGTGCTAAGCAGCTTTGTGTTGAGCATTTCGTCCGGAGCTCTGCATCCATCTCCGCAGCACTCGAGTTGTCTTCTTCATTCTACGTGAGTAGATGGCTTACTAACTTAACTTTATTCCATGGAGTACTAATGAGGAATTGTAACTTTTCTAACTCATTGACCTGTTGTAATTTATTCAATTGATTGGGGCACAACTTGTCGTTGACGTAGCCTTAGTTGTTCAAGTTGACAATGCAGCATATAAGTGTTGTTTTTTGTATAATCTATTCGTGGTTATGGATAGTTACTGTTTCACTGTGAATCAGATTGGATGGCTTTCTAAATTAATGCAAATTGCTATGAATTGTTTGGATGCTTTTGATGTAAACTGCTGGAAGTTTCCTGGATGTGGTACGGAGCTATACGTTTCTTCACTTCCTCATGGAACTTTTGCCATCAATCAGAGAAGCTCCTATAGCTTTATTACGCTGAAGTCCTAGAAGACTTGAAGATTTGGGAGGCTTTTTTTGCTTCATTCCTTTATTCCATGCACACAGCGATTTACCCTCGCCGCTAATGCGGCGACAGCCCTGTACTGTGGTGTGTGTGAAGGCCATCGTAACCATTTCTTCCATTACCACGTTTGGCTGTGCATAAACAGTCAAAGTACCTTTGTAGGGTTTGGCGGTAAGTTAGCAAGCTTAAATTACTGAAAATGAAAGGTAAAATGGTAGCGAATTCGAGCTTTTAGTGACTGGTTGGGACAAAATGGGTACATGTCGGAACAATTTCCAATCTTCACTTTCAAACACTTCAGATCACAAACATCATTAGTCCAAATGAAGAATGTTAGAATCTATCCATTAATTGACGGTTTTGTAGAAGAGATATCGCTAGAGTGTGTTTACAGTGAAGTAGTTAGGGATGTTGGGAATAATGCAGGGCCTAATACAGATTATAACGAAGAAGCTGATGACATCAAGGATAGAGGACGAAAATGATAATGAAGCCAATGATGAGTTACCAATGCCGTGTTTTAGCAGAACTCCAATACGTAAACTTCTTGGGGCTTTTTGACCAAATTTCAAGTATCCTAGAATGAACCACCTATATCACCTGCCCTCATGTCCTGCTGATCGCCGGACGACTGACTCGAGCGAACGCTGGTAAATGTTCCATTTCTCGCTGTCGCGTCCAAGAGCGACC